CCTGGCCCTCGCCCGGGCGGCTGGGCGGGCCAGCTGGTGCAGGTGCGGGACCCGCCCGCAGCGCGGCCGGCAGCCGGGGAAGCTTCCCTTCCCCACCCTTGCTTTTAATTTCTGCACTTTTTAAACTCCGTGACAATGTGTACATAAGACACAGAATTTACCATTTGAACCATTTTAAGTTGCATAATTCAGTGGCATCCGTACTTTTCAGTGCCTTAGACCCTGGTTTTGTCCTGAAGCAGGAGGGGTTAAGAGGGAGCTGTTATTGCCAATGTTAGAATCGGACTCAAGCCGGCTCCAGCCAGCGTGGGCCGCGCAGTGAATTCCCAGGAGGGAAACCCGTCCCTGGGTCAGGCTCAAGGGCAGCTCGCCCAGGGCCTCTGTCCCCCATGCCCCCCAGCGCGCCTCTCCTGGAGGCCGAAACCTCACTGCCTCACCCTGGAAGACACCTCTCTTCCTGGACCCGACCTGGACTTGGGCCGCGCTGGGCTTCCTCTCGGTAGTATTCCAGAGTTGCAGGTCCTATCACTTGCTTTTTAGGGCAGGAGCGATGGTGCCCCATCTGGTGCCCAGGCAGCTGGTGCGGCTCTTCCGGTGGCAGGTGGTGTGCGCTCGGGGAGCCTCTGTGCAGCCCAGGACATGGGCATTGGCGTCCAGGATCCGCAGCCTGCTCAGCCCTTGGGGGGCCACAGGCACCAGACACCTGGTCTGCAGAAGCGGCTCATCCACATCCCCCCGTGCCCCCGAGGTGGTGCTGACCCAGGAGCGCTACCCCGTGACGCGGCTGCCATTCTCCATGGTGTCTGAGGAAGACCTGGCAGCCTTTGAACGCATCATCCCCGGCAGGGTCGTCACAGACCCGGAGGTGCTGGAAGCTTCCAACGTGGACTGGCTGAGGACGGTCCGAGGTGAGTGAGGGTCTGTCCTCATGCTTCGGGGGGATGGGTGTGTGATGAGCTTTGGGTGGAGGAGCCTGGGGTCACTGGCACATACCCCTTCTTGTGCTGACGAAAAGCTGTATTGTGGTTTTAAAGTCTTCTGAGAACAACATTCATAGAGGTTTATTGGTGGGTGCGTGACCTCTGCAAATCAAAAGACAAAAGAGCCCCCTGGCTGCTCTGAGGGATGCACGTTGATTCCTGGTGCTGCTGTGACGGAGAACCACACACTGTGCAGCAGAAGCTTCCCCTCCCCCAGGCCCGGAGGCCAGAGGTCTGACAGGAAGGCGTAGGCCAGGCCATGCTCCCTCCAGAGGCTCAGGGAGGCTCCGTCCTGCCTCTTCCAGCTCCTGGGGGCTCCAGGCGCCCCTGGACCTGTGACCGCTTCACTCCCATGTCCGACTCCGTCTCCTCGTGGCCTCTCCCTGTGTGTCTGTGTCTCACATCTCCCCCTGCTTCTCTTTAAGGGCACCTGGCATCACCCTAAGTCCAGGACCTTCTCATCTCAGGATCCTTAACTTGATTACGTATGTAAAGACCCTTTATCCAAATAAGGGCACGTGCACAGGGTCTGAGGGATAGGATGTGGACGTACTTTGGGAGGCCCAGTCTGCCCATGGCAGCTCTCTTGGGCAAGATGCGTGGGTGCTGGTTTGGCCGCCCATGCCTCCTTCCTCTCAGCACACGCCTGTTCGTCAGCTCCTGAATTCTCAGCCTTCCAGAGCTCTCCCGTGAGAGAGAGCTTCTAACACTCTGTGTTCTCTCCTGGAACATTTTCGGAGATAACGTAAGCTGCCTATTCAGACAGTTACAAAAACCAATACGATGTTCTTGCTAGAACGTTAAAGAGAGCTAGAAGACAACCAGTTTACAACAAAGTTATGTATTAGACACGGAATGCCGGGACACGCTGGGCAGCCAGGACCGCAGGCAAGGCTGGATCCGGCGCTCGTGGGACTTGAAAGAGCAGTCAAGGGGGGTGTTGTGTGGTGGCGACTCAGCCACTGCAAGGGAAAACTCCGAGAGAGGGTCCAAACCAGCTGCGGCCTGAAGTATAGTGCGTCTGGAAATGGTGCGGAGTCTTGAGCACATGGAGTTAGGGTGTGGGCTCAGATAATCGAGACACGCTGTACTCGCAGGGAAAGACAGGCCGGAGACCTTGGAAGTCTTCAGACTGTTCTTCTTCTTTTTTTAAAAGATTGTATTTATTTGAGAGCGAGATAGAGACAGAGATAGTGGGAGAGAGCACGAGCAGGGAGGAGAGGGAGAAGCAGGCTTCCTGTCCATCCCAGGCAGATGTTAACTGATGGAGCCACCCAGGCGCCCTCCTCGGGCTGTTCTTTATGGCCTGAGTGCCCAGACTGGAAGGGCTTCCAGCCCCACCCTGCCCGCTAAGTCAGGGCCTCACGGGGGGTGGGGGATGTTGCCAGGCTGCGAGCCCACCACCGCACAGGGCCTGCAGGCTTGTGTGCAGTGCTCCTGGAGGCAGGAGAGGGTGCTGTCCACCCTGGGCTCAACCAGGCCGGGCCCCGGCCCTGTCTTGGCACTGCTGCCTGGGTGCCAAGCCCCACAAACTGGGGATGGGGCTCCCACCTCAGGTAAGAACCCAGTGTGCTGGGTGCTCAAGGCTTAGGGTGTCTTCCTCCTGGGGCTTCCAGAGCAAGTGCACCCTGTGACTGGGATGCAGACTGTCTGCCCTCCCTCCCTGCACAGGGGTTGGCTGTGTGCTGGGGGCTCTTCCTGGAGGTCTGTGTGCCTGTGTGGACGACCCCCCACCCCCACCCCCGCCTGCTGACACCTGAGCTCAGGAGGGCGGCACTGGGGCTTATTCATGTCTGAATCCACAGGGCTT